CTGAACATGAGGAAGAACTTCTTCCCTCTGAGGGTGACGGAGCCCTGGCACAGGCTGCCCAGGGAGGCTGTGGAGTCTCCTTCTCTGGAGATATTCAAGACCCGCCTGGACGTGGTCCTGTGCAGCCTGCTGTAGGTGACCCTGTTTTGGCAGGGGGGTTGGACTGGGTGACCCACAGAGGTCCCTTCCAACCTCGAACATTCTGTGATTCTGTGATCAGGAGAGCTCAAGTTGGGTCTAGCAGAAAGAGGAGGCCTCCTTCACCTCTGGTCCAGCAGTAACACAGTAGGGCAGCCCTGCACTCTGTACAGGCATCTTTTCAGCCAGGGCGAGATTTTAGAGCAGGCTGCTTTCAAATCTGAAACAATAATGCAGGGAAAACGCTGAGAGAAGATAAGTAAAATGGGGCAAAAGGAATTATGGGATGGAAGGAATGAAAGAGAGCAACCCTTTTCCTTCACCACAGTCACACACCTCTTCCATACGCACTCATACCAGTGCAACTTGTATTTCAAACTGTGGCATGAATGTTTTTCTCAAGCTGAAATTTGATTCCATCACAAAGACTTTTTTTTTTCTCTCTCTTTTGTCTGTTATAACATTCCACAAGCTTTGTGGTGCACCATTTTGAAGTCCTCTTAATACAAGCAGGTATTTGCAATGTCACCAAATAAAAGTGGTCTGCTTTTTCTTTTTTTTTTTTAAATACACAATTGGTGAACTCAGTATGTCATTTTAAATAGCATGAAACAAGGTTAATGCAACGTAAAGGTACTTGGAACAAAAAGCACTCCAAATGGAAAACTAGCAGTGCCGAAGATGTGGTGGAATCACCTTTGCAGTAAGAGCAGAAGGGCAGTGATGGGTCAGAGACCAAGGCAGCCTAGCAGCGTTTGCTACACGATTAGCTGTTTGCACTGCCTTAGCCGATGACAATGCATTGATATGAACGACAGAATCTGGTTCAAAGCCCTGCTTGGCAATCGGAAGACGGATACCAATGTGTCTGGAAAGTCAGATAAGAAATTTATAAAGAAAAAAAACCCCAAAAATCCCCAACATACACCTATAGCTAATGGCTGAATTACACTTATAGACCAAACCTCAGTAATATGGATGGAACTCTTCTATGCGGACAAGGCCAAGGGCTAAATATGCAAAGTAGCAATGCTTATAAAACTGTACCAGACCTGAACTTCCACATTTACACTTACTGTTTGTTCCAGAGGCTTTGCAAATTTTTTCTTGTTTATTCAGTCTTACTGGGAGGAGAGGGAGAGGCAAGAGTCTTGTAGGGTTATACTGAGCCGAAGAGGAACACAAAAGGTACTGTGCTTCAGAGAATCGCACGTCCTCCTCCCACTGCTCAAGAGACTCAAAACGTAGTTTGTGGAAGCACGAAAAGGATGCACTTTATTTCCCCTTCCACTTTCTCCTCCTGCCTCCTTCCTATTCAGCTCGCTCTCTCTTCTCTGGTGCGTTAGCTGGACTCCTACCTCTTGTGTACTTGCTTATTGGCAGCTGTGTTTGCTGCAGGGACAAGACATGAGAACCAGAGTTGTGGCTGAAGTAGCTCTACTTCTGCTGCACAGTCACATCACATTTTGGAGCAATCCAGACTTCTTAATGTAGTCCTGTTGTACTGCATATGGTTATACTACCCAAAATTTAACTCTCGAGAACGTGAGCTTCCCTCTATAATGCCATTTTAAAACTTGTGTAACTTTGCAACTCTTTTCCTTTTTCAGACTGAAAAAACTACCCTTCACAGAAATCTAGAGAAATATAGCTCATCTTGGGTTGAGGGCTAAATCCACATTTGCAAAGCATCCTTTAATTTGGGTCTCTCTGCTGTTCTTTTTGCAGACTTTGGAGTTTTATGTACAATAAACTTTTGAAGTCAGCAGAAAGTAGGATTTCCTCAATATGTTCCTGTTTTTCAGAGGAAGAATACTCAGATTCGCAATGAAGTCAGTTGTATGCAATATGTACTTTAAACTTAATTTAAATGATACTTTCTAGATCACTGTTTTCACAAAGGCAGGGATTAAGATCTCAGAATTATTTGTCAGTTGTCTGTAAAAATGGAGTTAAATGAAAATTTCCAGCAGACATGCTCCTGGTTTGGGGCTAGACATGAACATCTCAGGCATTTTCTGGCTCCCCCTCTTAAGCCAAGCGTGCAAGCTTATGAAGCAGAAAACTGTGCTGGATTCCTCACAAATGCCTCCCTGTGCTGCTTGTCTGAAGATGGCAGTTTGAATTCAGTGTGTCAGAACAAACGAGAACTGAATTTGGAAGCAGATAAAATCTGGAAACCAAAGGAAAAAAAACAAATCCTTTGCTGGGAAGTCAACTGAATTGAGACACTTCACCCATTAGCAGAGACTTTTCACAATTTGTCCTGTTCTTTGCTACCAGAGGTGTAAATAATTAAAGGACTATATTGACAGTACTACAGAAACAGTTACCAGACACTTCCCTTTACTAATTGAGACAACTTCTTAACCATAATAGAAGATAGCTGACAGGTTTCCTATTAAAAAGCTCTTATCCAGAGAGGTGTTCATCTCTTCTTTGTGCTAGTTAGACATCACACAGTGTGACATTCGTCACTCTGAGGGTGACGGAGCACTGGAACAGGTTGCGCAGGGAGGCTGTGGAGTCTCCTTCTCTGGAGATATTCCAGACCCGCCTGGACAAGGTCCTGTGCAGCCTGCTCTGGGTGACCCTGCTTTGGCAGGGGGGTTGGACCAGATGATCCATAGTGGTCCCTTCCAACCCCGACCATTCAGTGATTATGTGATGGCAATAAAATCTTACGGAATTTAAAAAGAGCATGGGGATTAGCGGGAAGCAGAAATGAAGAAAAAAATCTAGCTCTCAAGACTTCATAAGCAGAGAAGAGATTGCTGCTGGACCAGATGTCCTTCACACCCACACTGCAGCCAGCAATGTGGGTATTGTGCCAGTTTGAAAATGCAGGTGTCGTAAGAGGTAAAACAATAAATGCTGCTGCTTCTAAAGTGTACAGTCTGCTGGAGCAAGATTTACTGACACATTCGAACTTCTGTCTGCAAGTAAAAAAAAAAGTAATAAAAAAATCATATCGTACCTTAAAATCTCAGTGAGGTGTTGAAGTGGAAGGATAAGCAATTTTGGATTACTGGAAGCAGACTGCAGCTGAGACTGGAGTGCATGGGGAACTGATCTTATTTATATGTATTTGGTTTTGAACGAATACATTGAGTTTTAGGTCATTCTATAAATTAGTGGCTCATGAACATACCTCACGGTAAGGTGGATTTACATACAATCAGGGTCGTAAGACAAATGTATAAGAATATATGTGAGAAATTAACTTAGCGTGAGCTTATTCTTTTCTTTGTTCACCAATCCCATCCCTTCATGGCACTATGTTGCAGTACAACAACATCTCACTAAATTTATGAAGCATCATCTGTATTACATGCAGTACAGAAAAAAGGCAGCGATTTTAATGCCTGCAAATCTAGATGCCTTGTTACCATGTGGCCTGCAGAAGAAGTCACAAAGAAAAGACACTCTTCAAAGCTGCAGGATATCGGCTGAGCAAGAAAAATACCGAGTTGTAAAATCGTCTGTCACAGACTGGTGTTAGAGGTAAAAGCACGTGCTGTGAGTTCTGTTGAAAAGTTTCCCCTTACCAATGACGTTTTCTGGGGCAATCCGTGTGCAAAAGAAGATAGTTTCAAGTCCATTGTTTTAATTACCCGAGTTAAAAACACACAAGTCTCAACCATTTCCAGCTGAGAATGCATCTCTAACATCCTATATATTGCCCTAGCCATTGAACTAGTCATTGTAAATCAGCAATATTTGTCACACCTTCTCTCTTTGCAACTCTGCTTCTTTGTTTTGCTTTATCTTGGATATCAGACTGGTCATCTTTGTCCAATGCTGAGCAGCATGTTATACCCAAAGCCTCTGTGGCCCCCCAGGAGTTAAGATCCTTTCTTCTGTTGGTCACATGGGGCAGATCTCAGGTCTATATGAATGTCTGCTGTTACGTATCTTAACCCTCTGGGTGCTAATGCCTAAGGAAGTGATAGGCTACGGTCTTACAATAACCAATTATTATACACATAACTTTTACCAGTAACTCAGGTAT